TGTTTGTGTCGTGTTTCTTCCATCAGGTCTGCCCAATTTCTCCTAAAATTTTATCAGATTTCACCCCTTTGAATTGATGAGGCTTATCATTTACCTCCATGGATATTCTAAATCGTGATCTTAAACTTGATTCTTGTTGTAAGTTGGCCAAAAAAAAAAAAAAATTCTCTTTAATCCCCTTCATCATCAATGTCTATTTTTCTCTGGGAGTGTGTGGGAGTTTCTTAAATTTTAAATTGTTTTGTTGAAATCCATGTCGTGGTAGAAGCAATAGCAGGGAGGAAGAAAGGAGGAGAGAGAGGGTAGAGAATTTGAGTTTATCTGTTAAACTTTAACGGATATTGTCAAGTTTTAAGGTTAGGACCAAAATGATCACATTTTATATACATTAAGGACCATATCTATTAAGTGGTCTATATCAAGGATCAAAACACTTCAACCTCCATACATTAAGGATCATTTTCTCATCATAATTCATTTCAAATAAAAGAATATGTTGATTTGTTCAATTTTGAGTTATGATTCAAATTACTTATTTTTTTCAAATTATTCGATCGAATATGTATGTTTAGTAATATCGTCTTTTAAATATTTTGAGATTAAAAATACTTAAGTAATTTAATTTTTCTTTTATGATATATTAAATGAAATTTCATATACATTCATTGTTAATTTGTTATATATAAATTCGCACATACGTGCATTGGACATATGATATCTTAATATGCGTAAGAATATTTTCTTAAAGAAATAACGTAAATGATACTAAATGTATATGTGATATAACTATACATAATTATAAATTATGGAAAAATGATAAATATTATCGTCAAAAACACATTCAAATTTATAATTTTTCGAGTTTCTTTATATATGAACTATCATGTACGCAAGGTCTTTTATCGAATTATCACCAACTTTTTGTTAAAACGGTACATTTTAACTATCAATTATTTTCCTTTCTACTAAAATCTCACATATATGATGATTCAGCTATACAACTCAACAAAAATAAGATATTTTAAATATGTTTTTGACTCCTTCTTTAACTAATTTGATTAACAAATATGAATAGACTTTGTTCAGATTTGATCAGAGTGAATGGAATTAGTCTATGGTATTATAATATTTGAGATGCATCGCTCATAAAATATTATATCCCAAGTTCAAACAAAAGAGAGAATAATTAATTAGTTAGAAAGTAATGTATTGTTGTTACAATTTGTCGTCACATATATATAAAAAAACTAATAATTGTTATTAAAAAAAAAAAAAAAATTGGGACTTGGGAGTAGGGTGAGGGAAAATGTAGGTTACAAAGTATGGAATCGGGACCGTCATTTATAAAGAAGTGAAAGTTCAAATAATCAATCAATTAAATTATTAAATTTTTTTATAAAAATATAAATTTAAGATATTTGTTTGATTTAAAATTAAAATTAAAATCAACAAAATATTACGTTAGAACGTGTGCAAATTAACCAAATTTAAATGTGCAACCCCTAAGAGCTGTTATGAAAATGAAATGTTACTATTATAAAATTAATTGTAATCTCTTCATCTAGATAAAATTAAGTGAATCTATTTAAGAATCATGTTAATTTAAATTAAAAGAATATAATAATGAAATTGAATTGTACTGTCATTACGTATATGGAGTTCCTTTTGACAATTTTGAACAATATGTATATATAATTAAATAAGGGTGATTATAGATATGTACTTTTGAAGAAGTTAAAACTCAAATAGAAACAAGTGAAAGATATATTCTCACCGTTTAATTTGTTTGTCTATTTTTTATTTGACATGAAATTTTATAATAGTGAAGAAAATTTTTAAATTTTGTGATTTTAAACTAAAGATATGTCGAATGTATTACGACATTATTTAATCTTATGATTTAAAATACATTACGTGAAAAGTTGAAACTAAAGAATTATTAAAAAAAAAAAAAGACATTTTTTCACTAAAAAAAAGTAGGACAAACAAATTGAGACAAATAAAGTAATTAAATAAGATCATAGATTTTATATCGAATTGAAAGATAAATATCTTTAAAACTTTGTTTGGCCATAAAATTTGAGCAATTTTGAAAAGATCTGATTTTCAATTATTTTCAACTTCTCAAAAACTGATCTGATACAGATCATTTCTTTTGAATTTCCACTCATAAAACTTTATTTTTTTTCTAAGTAAAATGATCCTCAACACAACATCAAATTTCAGAAAATTACAATTTTCAAAACTTAATTTTTAAAATTTTAAATTTTAACTACAAAATTTATGATCAAACGAAAACTAAGTCGTGGAGATTAAACCACCACACATGCCATTTGGACCTTTTTCATTGGTGAAAGCTTGGAAAGTATATGAATAAATAAAGTACACATTGAATAATATCAGTACAATTTTGAGGTAGAGTAAATTTTGTGTATATAAATTTTGTTTTCTCAAACTTACTTTACTAGATTATATTTCATTAGATATATTATCGTTAACTTTGAAAATAATCAAGAAAGTATGTAAATAAATATTAAATTTGACATGATAAATAATTTAAGTTTCAGCTCGTATCATGTGTGGTATATATTCTTTTCCCAAGCAATTATTGAACTAGAAATATCTTCGTTGAATTTGTGTTCAGATGAAAGCATTCTCATATCTTTTATCAGTATTCGATATTTATACACATCAATAAACATCTTCATTGTGTGCTTGTTAATAGACAATTATTGTACTATTTGATCATAGTTAATATGAGTAAATAATATTTTTATTACATTAAATCACTTAATTATATACAATAAGTTGATATAGTTTGATGTAAATATAAAATGCACATAAATTAGCCGCTGCACCGAAAGTTTAATTATTCTCTTTTAGTCAGTGAAAAGTGACAAAAACTATAGGTGACAATAACATGTGTTGCAAATCCCAGTAATTTGAATAAAAAAGATATGGTTATATCCACCATTATTGGGGCTACATAAATAAAATTACAAACTATATATTACAATTATTTTAAAAGTAATTACAAAGTCAAGCTAATAGCTATTATAAATAAATTAAAGGAGCCACTACCAAAAAAAAAAGTTTTGGGAGTTAAAATAAAAGGTTCGAGCTTTTATTAATCGTAACTCTAAAATAGACATTAAACTTTGAACTCTATGAAACAAATCTCTTGTTATTCTTTATTAGCTTAATAAGGTTGATTATTAACCGATTGATTGATAACCAACAAAGTTATACACATAATGAAAGAATAAAAATGAATATAATGATATTATACTAGTACTTAATTAATATGATTTCCTATATTAATTATTAAGCTGATTGGTGTATAGAAAATTTTCATCCAGGTTTTAATTCTCTCTATATATATATACATTATATATAATTATTTTACACGATCAAATTCCCTATAATAACACATACGTAACTATTATAACAATTAGCATGTCCCCAAACCCGAAAAAAATAGACTAAATATCTTGCTAATTAACGAGTTAAAATGCATGTTAATATAGTTTATTTTACTATAAGATATTTGAAGTGGAGATCGTAACGAAACTATAATATTAAGTTTGATTGAACATATTCAATAACTTGCTTAGATTTTGTATTGCATTAGAAAATTGTTAATCTAATAACTAAAACGAGCTCTAAATTCAATAATAAGTTCAGAATAGATAAACTTCAACGATCACAAAAAGGTATGGGATAAAAGTATCTGTCACACAGAGAAGTTGACATAGACAAGGAAGGACCATGCCCATCTCACATAGTTCATTAGCTGTTGCCTGTTGGTCATGCCATTCAACTCAACATATCACCATGTCATTGTCCTATAACTCATTATAATTTCGAAACTCAGACATGAAATCTTTAAGTTTTTAAAAATAAAATTTACATATTTAAAAATTACGTAAAAAATACTACATGTCATAATAAATATTCATTTGAATCTCAAAATCTGAAAGATACCCCAGTATGCTACAAAGGTGCCCCATATTTTTCTACTATAAATTCCAAATACTACATATCAAATTGAAACGAAATTACATTTTGTCATAAAAAAAAATTAGAACATAAAGTCCCCATAATGTGTGTAGTGTCATTCTATTGTTGAATTTATTAAATTGAAGAGGAAAAAAAAATAAACAGAAAAATAGTAGTCAAGAAAACACAAGGGTAATTTATTAGTGGAATTAGGTCCAGCCAAATGGGGTCTGCTAAATAGGATGTCCTTCTATGACATTTGCAATAATGCACACATGGGACTGTCTACACTCCACTTCCCCCTTCTCTAGTTCCCAGACCAACAAATAAAATAATCGTAGTGTCTAAATCAATATATACGTAATTTATGCGTTCTTCATCCATTAATTATCTTCCGCTAGTACATGTAATCCGTCAATATTTGAATAAATAAAAATAAACTAATCACCTATTATTTCTTATTTCTGATTTTTGTTGAGATTTGAACTTGATGAGATCTCATAGATAGTTCTCAACTTATTTCATGAACACTAGCCACACTCTTGATGAAAATAATATTTACATAATTAGGTGACTCAAAACATAAGTACAAGATGCCATCATGGCTAAATTTGGTTAAGTGATAAGCTGCGTTACCTTACTTACGTAAAACACATGATGTGTTGCTTAGGTGCACGTCAAACCTATTATTCACAGAGTTTTCAGGTGATGTGTCGGTTGTTCTTCGAAGATTTTTCAGTTATAAAAAAAAATTAAAAATATTAACTGCAGGCAACATGACTGACTTTTTTTTTTCTTTTCACTACATAAATGTTCATACCCAACATATCTACATCAGGACCTTGTAACTAATTGCTGTGTTAGATGGTGACATTTTTAATTGCCAAAAATTGTGAAATTCCTTAACTATATGTATTCCACTTCATGTTTGTTCCTTGATTCATTTTTCCTCCCTATATTATTTTAGATAGTTAATTTCTTGATCCTTAGCACAAACTATATATATAAAAAGTTCTTTTTTAGTAGTCTCTTTGCCATTGAGATCATGAAGGCTAGTTTCATTTGCATTTTCTTGATTTTCCTCCTCATTGATCCTTGTTCTTCTTCAGGTAATTTGTCTTCAAATTGATCTTTTTAATCTCTTGTTTATGATATAATTTCTCTTTTTCTTTACTTAATGTCACTATTAAAAACAAGTGAATTTTTCCGACGGATATTCTCATGGTATGGTGCAACTTATCTTTCCCCTAGATTACTTTACTCACTAAAAATCATCCCACCTATATATATTTCTTCATTCGAACTAGTCTCCTTCGATCAACTTGCTTGTGTCTGCTATTACCTATTGTATAGGACCCCCCTCCCCCCCTTCCCCAAAGTGAAGAAAGAGGAGCCTTCAGGCACATACAACAAGGATCAAGGGAGATCTCGTTGTTACATAATCCTTCACATCCGAAACAAGAAAATTATTAGTTGGAGAATCCTTTTTACAGGGTAGGCATGGTAAAGGCAAAATGTTAGAACGTCATCGAAATTATGAAATATCCGATAGAAATTCCAATAGAAAGTCCATCGGAAACATTTCCATCAAGCCAATTTTCGACAGATTTCATTAAAAATTTGCCCTTTTTTTAGTAGTGTATGAAATTTAATTGTGACTAATTATGAAAATGATATTTTTGTTGACAGGGAAAATGGATTTATTAAAGATGGATTCAGAAATATATGAAATTGATTATAGAGGTCCAGAAACTCATTCTTATATTCCTCCACCAAAAGGATCAAGGGGAAAACATAATTTTCATCATCAAAACATGATGTTAAAACATCATCGCAAATTCAAAGGATTGAAAGTTAGTAAACCTGAAGAAATTAGTGTAAGTAATTTAATTTTACTCTCTTCATATATAAATGAACTATTCAATTTTTCCTTAATTTACGTAGAGGCAGATCCATGATTTCAATTAAAAGGATGCAAAATATAATTACGTACGTTAATATCTTTTGTGTCACAAAAGTTCGAATTAGTTAGAATTTTTTTTGAATTATATAATAAAGTTTGAGTTAATTGTAAATACAGTGAATGCGGCGGAGCTAGCAAAAGTTGAGGGGTTTTCCTTCGGCGGAAAATACATAGTTTATATATATTTATAGATGGAATAGGATTTCGTGTTTCTTTTTGTTTCCATTTTTCTTATTCAATTTCTGATTTAGTATTTTTCTATTTTTTGTAGGGGAAGAAAATTCATGGATGAATTTAAAAGAAATTTGATGTGTTTGTTTTTGGAAATTTGGATGAACAATCAAGAAGAGTGTTTCTGCAGTTTGGAGATACATATTAAATGAATTAGAATGTGATTTAATTTTATTTTTTTCATTTATAATATATCTCCCAATATTTTTGTATAAATGAGGCTTGTGATAGACTTCAATTATTGCTATTGTATCCATTATAATTATTTTGTGCATCATAATTTTTTGACCATGGAATATTCAATCCTTTTTTCTACATAGTTCCATCCTGGTTAATGAATGATTTCTCCAATGAGAATATTAAGAAGGCCTAAACATAGATAGTTTGCAGATACTTGAATTATAGCATATTCTAATTGAATATCTGAATGAGTGATAAAATGTTTATAATAATAACTTTTGTTTAAATTTGGAAAAAAAGAAATTTGCCTATATATATATATATATATTACGTAAATAAGTTAATCACTTAAAATATGCTATTTTCTTTAATTATATGAATTAGCTCAAGTAAATTGTAAAAAGCTCATGTTTATTTCAATTCTAATAGAATCTGGATTTAGCTGCCCAGATACAAATATTGAATGCCGAGTAGAAACTAAAATAAAAAACAAAAAAAATGACAAGCAATAATTAGAGCCTCTAAATGAAATTGATGCAAAGTTTTAGGGCCTGTGTATTAAGGAGTCGTTTGGTAATTAATTAGAGTTATACATATTACTATAATAGTAATGTAGGAGTTAATTACGAGCGAATTATGTATTTTAATATATATGTATTAGACTATTAGTTATCCCATCTATTAAAGTTATCTGGTACATGTTGTTAGTGGGAGGTGATAGGTATCTTATGAAATTAGTTGAGCTGAACAAAACCCCAATTAATATGGAAAAACTACACAATTAGATATACTTCACTACCATATATACTATTTGTTACCTATACTTTCAAATTATTACGTATCTTATCACTAATTAAAAGTTCCCCAAGTATCTTACATTTAGATACATATATTTTTGCTATTGATACACAAAAATAAGGAGAGAGGCGAGCGAGATTCATATGCATCCCAGATACATGTGAATCACACTAGATACATGTATTTGCATGTATCGGAAGTGATTCTCATGTATCTGGGATATACTAGATACATGGGGAGTTCGGAACCTAAATAAGCCACAGAAAGATAAAAGTTACCAAAATAAGTCACTATTCTAGTAAGTAACTAAAATAGGCTTAGTGGAAGAAAAAATTTCGTTTTATGCAATATTCCAAACGTTTTTCATTAGTATCATAACGTGTATATTTTAATATAAAATGAAACTATTTTTTACACTTTGTAAAACAAAACTATTTCTTACACTTTGTAATGTGTAAGTTTTTCTTACACTTTATAAAGTGGAAGAAAATCTTACATTTCAAAAAAAGTTACTTTCGCAAAATTCAGAATGATGAGTCTCTTTTTAATATATATAAATATATATATATATATTTATGTATCAAATTTTATATTTCAAAAGTTGAATTTTCGGATCACGCTTTTTGGAGAATTTTGAAATTAAATTTCAAATCATAATTCCAAATTGCATATTCAATCATTAATTATAAATCATGACTTCATATCGTATGTCCGAACACAAGCTAGACACCATCAATTCTATGTTTGTACTGATGAAATAGCGTGGTGTAGATTGTTGCTCGCGAGCTAGTGGACCCCAAATGATGTTGTTTGACAAAATATTATTTTTATAATTAATTTTAATTTACCTAAAGGAAAAATATAAATCTTCCGTATTTGACTAATCCTTTGATTCTTGGAGTAAAAGATTTTGGACTCTTATAGATTGAGATTCGACATTTCTTCTCACTTTACGTTATATACAATGTACAGGTAAAGTAACTTTTCTTAAAGTATAAGATTTTCTTCTACTTTCTAAAGTGTAAGAAAAACTTTCACTTTACAAAGTGTAAGAAAAACTTACACTTTATAAAGTGTAAGAAATAGTTTCGTTTTACAAGGTGTAAAAAATAGTTCCGTTATATATTAAAATATACATGTTATGAGACTAACGGAAAACGTTTGGAATATGACATAAAACATAATTTTTTCTTCCACTAAGCCTATTTTAGTTACTTACTAAAATGGTGGCTTATTTTGGTCACTTTTATCTTTTGATGGCTTATTTAGGTTCCGAACTCATACATGGGAGAGTGACAACTTCATTACCATATATATACTATTATTACTTATACTTTTAAAAAATTACGTATCTTATCAATAATTAAGAGTTCCTATGCATCTTACACATAGATGCATGTATTTTTGCTAGGTACACAAAAATAGGGAGAGAGGCTGGCGTCATTAGTATATATCCTAGATACATGCGAATCACATTAGATACATACTAGATACATGTATATGTATGTATCTAGAGTGATTCACATGTATCTGGGAACGAGATGGAAAAGAAACGAGCGAGGTTTGCTTTTTATCCTAGATACATACTAATCCACTTGGATGTAATGTATCTAGAACAAATTACAACTAAATTTGATCCAATGTATCTGATATACATGCATGTGGAGACACCAAGATTTGATAAAATACATAACATTAGAGTGTAGCTAACTAATTAAATTCTAAATTAATGAAATTTACGTAAATTCCCCAATTAATATCTATATTGCTCATGTCTAAATCAACTACCAAACGACCTCGAGGCTAGGGCTGTGTATTGGTCGGTTCGGTTCGGTTTTGAAGTTTATCGGTTTGGCTTATTGGTTATCGGTTTGTAGAGATGCTAAACCGTTATCGAACCATTAAGATATTGACTTATCGGTTACTGATTTATTGGTTTTTGATCGTTATCGATTTAATCGTTAAGATTTGACATAAAAAAAACATTGAAAATCACTTAGAAACAAGGTGACAAATCAAATGAACCATGCACATGAGTTCACAAGTTACATCTTGCTAAAAAACAAATATTTTTATATTGTAGAATAACTAAGTGTTTAAGACAACTAGAAATAAAAGTAGGAAATCAAACTCTAAGTCAAGGACTTTATATACAAAATGATATTAATTTACTATCAGGTTATCGATTAACCCGTTAAGAAAAAACAACCCGCTAAAAAAAAACAACCCGATAAGAAAAAAAATCAAAATCGTTATCAAAACCGCTAAACTAATAACCCAATATTGATAAATCAATAAAAAAAATGCGGTTCAAATTATTGGTTTTGAACCGCCCTACTCGAGGCTATTAAGAAAGAAAATGAGTCATTAAGATTAATTTTCCTCCACTGTTTACGGTCATCCTCAACCATTAAAAAAAAAAACATTGTTTCTATTTATCGCATTCCACACAGTTTTACTCACGTAGAATCGAGAGATCTTTGAGGTTGTCATCCTCTTTTCTTCTTCTTGAGACATCTCTTAGATCCCTCAACTCTCTTTCCAATTCTTGAAAATCCCAATATTCAAAATCAATTTTGGTGTTTTTTTTTTTTTTTGAAAATTTTCTGTTCTAATGGCGAATGTGGAAGAATCAAGCCCATTTCTACCCAGTCAAAAATCTGATTCAAACAATGAAATGAAGCCCACAAAGCCCAGTTCTTCAAATTCCGGCAAAATCCCAGCTCCGTCGGCTGCGGCGGAGCCGGTTAAGCCAGCTTCATCTGCTGTTTCGATGGGGTGGACAGCTGAGGGTTTACCTATGGGCCATAGCGTTGGGACGGCGGTGGTGGGGGAGCCAATCATGCGTAGGGCTCAATGGGAATCTAGCCTTTGCTCTTGTTTTGGGAAGAATGATGAATTCGCCAGCAGCGATTTTGAAGTTTGTGAGTTTTCATTCTTACAAAGTTTGTTGCTTTGAATGTTTTTTTTTTTGTTTATATCAAAGTATTGATTTATGTTATGTTTAGGGTATTCAAGGAAAATGAAAAATGAAATTAATGGAAATGACTTGGTTTGGTATTGAAATTCAAAAATGCCAATAACCATTAGTTAATTTGGTTTAGGAAAATGTTGAACTGTTTTATGTCGAGCCGAGGATCTATTGGAAAAAGCCTTCTACCACTGAGGTAGGGGTAAGGTCTGCATACACGTATCCACTTTGTGGGATTATACTGGGTATGTTGTTGTTGTTTGGTTTAGGAAAAAGTAAGAACAAAATATTGAAATTAGAAATATCTTTTAAAAACAACTTTTAACATTTTTTTGGGAGGGGTGGTGGTAGGGGTAGGGGTGAGGGTGGGGTAAAAATATTGAATTTAAAAACAAACTTTAAATTTATTTATTTTTGGGGGGGCTGGTTTGAGGGTAGAGACCAAATAAATTGATTTTTTCAACAATTTTTTTTTTTAATTGGAAATTGAAAGAGAGTTTTGGAAAATGTTTTTCTTAAGTTTTGAAGGAAAGTCATTTTTCTTAAATTTGAGGAAAATGAGTTGATTTGGAAAACATTTAACCCAACCAAACATGAGAAAATTGGAAAACATTTTCCGGAAAATGTTTTCCATCATACCAAACACACCCTTAATGGTGACCAAGAAGATATTAACCAAATGATATTGTCAAGTAAATTTGAAAAGATATTCTTCCAGCTTTCCCAGTGAAAAGAATAGCTTGAAAAATGTAATGGATAGAGGTGATGACTGTGGGAGGGAAGTTGTATTTTGTTTTCGACGTTGAAAGATTAAATCAATGGAAGTTGTAAGAAACCGTTTGCACGTTCTAGAAAAGATTTGTATTGCTTCTTCTGATGAATCATTTGAAAGAAGGATGATACTATTAAGGAGGCAGTATCAGGCACTTAATCTTTTAGTTTATGTGTCCAATCAGTCATTATATTGGTTCTAGAAACGAAAATGTTTATATGTTTCATTTGATACAACTGCAATTGCTATACCAGTGGTGCAAACTTATTGGAACGGGTCATATGCATCGACATACGGAGTCATACTATATGAACTATCCTGTTAGAAAAAACAAAACTGTGAACTTGTTGACACATAGTTTATGTTAAAAAATTGTTCTCTAACTTGCTTTTATATAATTTGTTCACATTCTCCATTGTGTTCAACCTTGACAAGTTCTATATGTGCCATGTGGGCACAATTTCTTGAGTATTCTGCGGTGTGCTTCACTGAATAAGTCAATTTTGGTTCAAGTTGTTGCCTCTTAGAGTTATATTTGCAGTAAGATTTCGTTCTTGATATAGTTTCAGAAAAGAATTTCATTCTTGATACTTAAAGATGTTATGGATTCTGTTCCCTTGCTTTCTTGTCATCTCTTCATCATACTAACAATGCCAGTTGTGGGGCAATGCACAGGTCTGTTAGGAACTCTGGCACCATGCGTGCTCTATGGAAGCAATGCGGAGAGAATTGGGTCTTCTCCTGGAAGTTTTACTAATCACTGCTTGCCTTACACTGGTCTATTCCTGATTGGACAGTCCTTTTTCGGCTGGAACTGCATGGCACCCTGGTTTTCATATCCCAACCGTACAGCTATCCGGCAGAGGTTTAATCTTGAGGTTGGCTGTCTCCTTGTTTTTTTTTTCTTTTTATCCTATCAAGTGCTTTATCTATGTTGGTTTTATAACCTAGTCTTTTGGTTTTTGTCAATAAAGAATTTGATTTATTTGGGTCTAGCAGCTTTGATTTATTGTTTTGCTGTTTTTTCAATTTTGATGCTGAGGATGTTATCTGATTTGTTAAAATCTCATCCATACATGTTAAATTTGCTCTTAATTTCTTATTCAAGCTCCCATGTCTTATCTACTGGTGCTAGACAAGTTTATGTAGGTTTTTTTCTTATTTGTTCTATTTTTTCATCAACTGCTTGCAAACTTTGGTAGTAAGTGTGACTTTTCACACATTATTTAGTATTTACTTGAAGTTATTAAAGATGGGGACCTTAGTGGTTGAATTTAAAGGATTTGGTGGTGAAAAAGCTTTCCCCGCGCTTTATCTGTGTCATTTGTGTGACCTAAAATTTCGCAGTTGTTTCAGTGCATGTTAATATTTTATATGGATGTTTCTGTCCTCTTTGTGAGGCTTGTGATATTGAACTTACCTTTCTACATTCTTCTCATGAAGATAAATGTTCAATAACAAGATACTTAATGGATGTTTCTGTCCCCTCAGTGACACATTCTTATCACATAGGACAACAGTTACGAGCCACCATTTTATACACTCCCATATACAATGTGTGACATCCTTGTCGATCTCCCCATTTCCTTGGATTATAGACCCTATAGCTTGAAGTTTCCTATGTTGGGATGACTTGTGTATCAATCCTCATTTCCCCATCCGCCTCCAGTGATGCGACACTGAACTTGCACTTGTTGTACCCTGTTCTAGTCCTGTTCAGCCTGAAGTCATTAGACTCTAGGGTCTGTTTACAAATCTCCTGTCTATCGTTAACTCCGCCGCATGTCTCGTCGATCAATTCTATCTCGTCCACAAATAACTCTATGGATCCTCACTGACCATGTCATTCTATACAAGGCTCATCTAAACCATGATTGTTCTCTCTAGTCATTTACTGCACATACATTTTGGTTAACATCATCCAGCTTTTGTTAGATCCTGCAGTTTCCACATCAAAATGGTACCTAGGAGAGCTCTTGCTATCATTTCTTATTCTACAACGGATGTTTGGAAACGCGTTCTAAGAGTTATTTCCTTTGCAGGGTAACTGTGAGGCAGTCACCAGTTCATGTGGGTGCCATGGGGGCTTTGTTGAGGATGAGGAACGCCGCGAGCATTGTGAGTCGACTTGTGACTTCTTAACTCATATCTTCTGCCACCCTTGTGCTCTTTGCCAGGAAGGTCGTGAACTTCGTCGTAGGCTTCCTCATCCTGGATTCAACGCCAAACCAGTCCGATTTATGATGCCTCCTGGGGACCAGACCATGGGTCGCTAATACTAACCGCTATGCCATTGACTCCATAACATTTGCTACTTGATTTTATTTGTTACAATGTTCTCTAATATTATACTTGGAATTTTTTCCTTAATTACTGGAAAATTTACTTGTAAAACTTGACTGTGTAGGTTATAATATATAGTAATGTATACATACATATAAAAGAGATGGATTTGCAATTTGTATGAAGTCAGGATTAATCATACAAGAAATCTGTTGATGAATCTGATTTTGTGTACATATAGTAAACGAGATTATTTAACATTTTCTTCTTTAATTGGATTCGATCCTAGTTTTCAATGGTCTTTATTTCAACTTCATCGACCTCAAGATCACACCGAATATGTAATAATTACCAATTATTTATCAAAACACACCTCAAAGCTTACTAGATCAAATGTTTAAATACAATCACAAAAATGGTGTGACAACTTAAGTTTGCTCATAAAATTATGTCTGCTTAACAACTGACTCATTGATATCGATGTGTGTTTTGATAAATAGTTAATAACGATTCAAATACAAAACTTGGTAAAAAATAATATCTCATATAAGTGTTTTTGACCATACATTATCCCAACTAAAAAAAAGTGTTTTTCCCCTCTCTTTTTTTATAAGTCGTTGATATGTCAATTTGTGCTGTCTAGATGGTCCAAATTGATTTATTTTAAACATTTAGATGTAACACAATTGATTGGTCAATTATTCTAATTCCCAATCCAACCTACTCAGACTTGGATAGGTTAGACATGTTACACTTATATGTAAGTTGTTTTTTAATAAATCATTGACATCCTTACCCATAACTGTCCAAAAATATCATATTGCATGTGAGTCCATTCAGAGATTCATGTTCACATTTGGTGAATAATAGTAATAATTATAATAATAATAATTTCTAACTTTTATTCTTTGGGATGTAGATGACCCGGGGTTCGAGATCGATCTCCCTCAATGCATTCTGAGCTGAGTATGTCGCTCAGGATTTGCCCAGTGCAGTTTATATTTTTGGTGTAATTTGCAGACTATTAAACAGTGAAAAATTTTACTCAATGCACACAAAATACTCATTCGAAAAATAGAAATTATAACGACCACAGAATATAATAGAATTACCAAAAAATAATATCTAAAACTTTTTATTTCACCAATCAAGATTCTCACTGGAGCCTGTGTGCATGTGGGATTTTATCATCTTATTTGGTCGGCATTTAATCAGTGAAGAAGAATTTTTGCAGTAATAATGAGTACAAAAATTAATTTGGGTTACTATGAATATTGACAAACTATACTCTGACATTAATTAATTTAATTTAAATTTTGTTGCTCCAAGATTTGTCATTGAACACGAATAAGTATTTTAAATTTCTGTTTTTGTCTAACCAAAGTTTGTCTCAACAATACAAAATTGAAGAGTTATATATATCAACAATACAAAAAAAAAAAGGTATACTATCACGTCATCTAAAGCATATCTATAAATTATACATATGAGTTTCTTCGTAATCATAAAAATAAAATTAGTTACCTTATAAAATAGGTAAGAATGCATTATTATATACGTCCAAAGGCGAATCCAGGTAGAATTGAAAGGTTTGAATCTCCTTTGATGAAAAATAATATTATTATTATAATTAAATTATTATTTATGCATATCTATTAGATGTTGAATCTATTTAATTCCCCCCTTATTAATTAGGAAGAGCTCCGATCCTTTCTTCTCCTTATAATGAATTGTGTATTATTAAACTATAAAAGAGAATGACTGAAAGACTGTGACTTGTCACGACACTAAATTATTTCAAATAAGTTTTTACTATGTTGGATGTCAATATTGTGCTATTTGCCTAACAATTCCACCATAGTGTGGGCTATGAAAGCATTGGAAGATTTTTTTTTTTTAGAATATATAGATGATCTCCCACTCTATATCTATTTGAGAAAAAAAACAATACAAAACAAAAGAGGATACATCGTAGAGCCCGTTTGGATTGTTTTAAAAAAAGTGGCTTTTAAATCAAAAATAAAAAGTCAAAGTGAAATGACTTTTAAGTCAAAAAATAAAAAGTAGGGGGAGACCTACTTTTGGTTTTTGCCTTATTTTAAGTCATTTTGAACTTTGCCAAATACTTTCTAACTTATTTTAAGTCATTTTTTTACTTATTTTAAGTTAATTTTTATATTTGTCAAATACTTCCAGAAGTTAAAAACTAATTTAAAAGTAGATTTGACTAACTTTTAAGAGACGGTTGGATTGGCTTAAAAGTTCATCAAATCCACTTTTAAGTCAGTTTTTGACTTCTGAAAGTGTTTGGCAAATATCAAAAAAAAAACTTAAAATAAGTTAGGAAGCGTTTGGAAAGGTAAGAAATGACTTCTAATAAGTTTAAAATGACTTAAAATAAGTCAGAAATCAAAAGTAAGTCTCCTCTTACTTTTTATTTTTTTGACTTAAAAGTCATTTCAGTTTGACTTTTTATTTTTAACTTAAAAGTTACTTTTTTTAAGTCAATCCAAACGGGCTCTAAGTCAATCCAAACACCCTCGTAGTTATAAATGAGAAATGTCCCAGAAAAAGGATGGCTGCGAAATTGGCCAATATAATTGAGTAATTATTTAATGACGGTTGGAGGAAGAAAAAAACAAACTAGATTGATCCCTGAGTATGAGTTATCTTTGTTAGGGAATACTTTATCTTTCAATGTTGGATTTCTCCGTGCAAATTCAAATAAATCGAGTGCGAAACAAAAAAAAAAAACTTATGTCAAGTCATATTATGATGATGTGAAAGGACCTTCAATATTTTAGCTACTACAAGACTCATTCTATAACCGACACTTAATTAAAAAGAAAAATAAAAAAAAAAGTTGTCCTTTGCTCAATGTCACAAAGGCCGTTTGGTTAGCGAACAAAGTTATTTCAAGTTTAAAATTTAAGATAATAATTCCAAAATTTATCTCTCCCGTCTTCTGCGTGGAATAAAATACATAATATTCTATCTACATATTTTAGTTAAGTGGAACTACAAACTAATAACCAAAACATTATACTTAGTGCACGTGCTGAATTATTTACTTTACAATTAAAATATTATTACTGACTATGTTGATTTTAATACTCGAATCATTCACTTACTAGCCAACAACTAAAGTATATCAAGTGGCATGCTTTTTAGCAATTGTGAGATAAGAGATAATATCCCGGGATAAATTGTTAGGATTATTTTAACAAAGAAATAAACATTTCTAGTAGTGGTAGCTATTAATAGGGAAATTTTATCCATTAAGGACTTTAAAAGAAATGGAAAGAGGAAAATTCTTTTCTTTGCAGCCAATTATACTAAAGAAGTACAAACATCTATCTACCAATTAATATGCCTTATTTCTGGTGGTTGTCACACTAAACAACACTTATTCACACTTTACCAAACCCCAACTCAAACTCTCATGTAGTCTTTTGACTAAAAGATAACTTCAAAAAGAAACTAGTCACCTCATTACAAAGACAATCCACCAAACCAAAATCAAGAAAAGGACTTTATATATTTATTTATTTTCCCCACTAAATATCTCTAATCTTGCACTCAATGGACTAGAGTATATGAAAGGAAAAGGAGAAAATTACATTACTAAATCTTAAAGCTTATTTGGTACATATATATTATAAATAAAATTAATGAATTATGAACAAAACAAAAAAGATGCCACTTTTTCCTTGTCCACGCCCGATCAGAGTAGTCATTGTGTCTGTTCCGCCTTGATGGTGGTCCCATATGTGGGATTGTTGGTCTCTTATGGGTGCATTAAGTCGAAAAGTCAAGTCTTTTCTAGTCTTGCATTTAGACCAACTCCATGCCATTGCCATTGCGACCACCGGTGAAGCTACTTTCGGATGATGAAGGGGAAAGTGTGATCAAACCATTCAAGTCAGAAACACTATCTTGCAAACTCATTAGGAGATGTGATGTGCTGAAACTCATAGATGGTCTAGTTCTTGGGACAATTGGGATTTCAGATTCACCTTCCAGCATTTGGACTACACCTCTCATTGTTGGTCTAGCCGTAGGGTCGGGATGTGAACAAGCTAGCCCAATCATTAGAACCCTTCTCATTTCTTGTTCATCAAACTCACCACAAAGTCTTGAATCAGCTGCATTTAGTAAATTCCCTTCTCTATGCACCCCCCATACCCATTCAACCAAGTTGCTATTCACTCGAACTTTCTCAACTTTAGTTGTTTCCCTCTCAATTGGCCTCCTTCCACAAGCCACTTCAAGAACCACTGCTCCATAGCTGAAAACATCAGTTTTTTCGGTTGCCCTACCGGTTAACAAGTACTCTGGAGCCAAGTAGCCCATTGTCCCGGCTGCTACCGTTGCATCGGGGGACTTGTCATGCTCAACTTGCCTTGCTAATCCAAAATCTCCTAATCTTGCATTGAACCCTTCATCCAACATGATGTTACTACTCTTAATGTCCCTATGAATCACCTGGTTTTCGCATTCTTGATGCAAATATGCCAAGGCAGAAGCAACACCTATCAAGATTTTTCGCCTATGTGACCATGAAAGAACCATTCTTGATTCAAATAGTACCTTATCAAGACTCCCATTAGGCATAAGATCGTAAACCAACAAAATTTCACCTTTCTCATGGCACCATCCTTGAAGCCTAACAAGATTTCTATGCCTAAGGGTTCCAATTATAGATAATTCAGATAAGAACTCTGCTTTCCCTTGTCCATTATGACTACATCTCTTCACTGCCACAATGCCACCGGTATCCGATAAAATGCCCTTGTAAACAGTCCCAAATGCACCACGGCCTATAATTCTCGTTGGAATGAAACCTTTTGTGGCCAATTTAAGCTCTTTGTAGCTGAACTCCTTAGGCATTTTGATGATATCAGATGCCACAATCTCAGAATTTTTCACTCTCTTGAATCTTTTGGAGTATAACCAAATAAGTACCAATGTAGCAAATGCAAGAAAAAATGCACCAGCAGTCACCACACCAACAACAGCTCCAGGACCTTGTTTACAAAAATTGCTATGACATTTCCTACTTCTCTTTTCTTGCAATACACCTGTGCTACTATTAGACTCTGATGGAGCCATAGAAGGTGGTGGCAACGCGACAGAATCTGCCGTTG